ACTGTCGGAAATAAACTCAGCTATATGAGAGCAGGTCAGGATTCTCAAAAACTCCCGCAAACCAAGGACAACCTGACTGGTGGCAAGAGGAGAGCCCTTCGGTCCTTAAAAGCCAATGAGGTGCTCACTGTCCTTCCAGCTGACAAGGGTAATGTGGCCATGGTACCAGATACGTCAAACTACAACCGAAAGATCACCGCTCTCTTGGAGGACAAGGCCTACAAGAAGTTGAAGAAGGATCCTACTGATGCCACAGAGCGTAAGACTGTTCTTCCCCTGAAAAAGTCCCCCGATTCCTGAGGAGGTCTGCCAACAGCTACGACCTCAAAGTTCCAGGCCACCTAGACTCTACAGGTTGCCGAAGATCCACAAGCCTGACATTCCACTAAGGCCCATTGTGAGCACTATTGGCTCTCCTACCTATCGCCTGGCCAAACACTTGGCTGGCCTACTGAGCACATACACTGGCAACGGTCCACACCATGTAACTCCATAGAATTTGTCCACACATTGGGCTCTCTCCATGTTGATCCCCACGACATAATGGTCAGTTTCGATGTAGTGTCACTCTTCACCAGGGTGCCTATAAAGGATACTATGGATCTGCTAGGATGACATTTCAAAGAAGATATCTCGAGAATCTTCCACCATATCCTGACCACCTCATACTTCAACTTCAATGGCCAGTTCTATGAACAAACCGATGGTGTGGCGATGGGCTCGCCACTCTCTCCAGTCATCTCTAATCTATATATGGAGGACTTCAAGATGAGGGCACTTGACTTGCCCCACACAAGCCCCGCTGCTGGTTTCGCTACGTGGACGACACCTTCGTCATCTGGCCACATGGTCCCGACAAGCTCAAGGACTTTCTGAACCACCTAAATAGTATCCACCAGTGCATCCAGTTCACAATGGAGACTGAAACTGAGGGCCACCTCTCCTTCCTGGCTATATATATTTACAGGAGACCCGACGGTTCTCTGGGCCATAGAGTGTACTGCAAATCCACCCATACAAACTTCTACCTTAACACTGCTTCCCACCACCACCCTTCCAACAAACAAGCTGCACTTTCCACATTGGTGCACAGGGCTACAGCTCTTTGTGATCAAGAGAGCCTACATGTGGAGTTGGTGCTCCTGGGGGATGTATTCAGGAAGAACAGATACAACAACTGGGCAGATCCACAGAGTTCTCAACTATGGGCCCAACATCAGCAGGCCTGAAGAAAAACCGGGCTGTCGCCTTCCTGCCCTACATCAGGACTATATTCAACTGTATCAGCAGAGTGCTGTCCTGGCACAACATCAAATCAGTGGGTCTGCCTCCAAACAAATTATCCAATTTCCTCTGGCCTGTCAAAGATAGCCTGGGACTAAGGACACTGGGCCACGCCATAGCTCAAACGGTTAGTCGCTGGCTTCCCATCGCGGTGGCCCGGGTTCAATCCCAGGTCTGGTCAAGTGGGATTTGTGGTGGACAAAGTGGCGCTGGAACATTTTTTCTCCAAGTACTTCGGTTTCCCCTGCCAATCTTCATTGCACCAGTTGCTCCACAATCACCCTCCCCTATCATCTGGGGCTGGTACAATAGGCCAAAGTGGCTGCAGTACAAGGGACTTAGTCCCACCCCACTAGCAACAGTATATAGTATAAGGACACTGGGTGTATACAGTATCCCATGCGAGTGCAGCAAGGTCTACATTGGGCAGACGGGCTGCTATGCGAACACAAGGTTGAAGGAGCATCAGTGGCACACACTTCTCGAACATCCGGACAAGTCAGCTGTAGATGAACACAGCATCGATTTAGGACACCACATTAAGCTTCAGAATACCTCCGTCCTTGCCGCCAAGACCCAATATACGGATCACATCATTAGGGAAGCCATCAAGATTGAACTCTATCCTGACAATATGAACAGAGAGGTGGGGTTTTGCCTCAACAAGTCATGGAAGCTTCTCATCTGTTCCCTAAAAAACCCCCCGTAACATGACGCCAGATCCACAAGGCCCGCAGTCCATGACCGACTCCTATAGCAACCCCCCAGCTGAAGGGTTAATGCCCTCCCATTAACCTTGCCTTTCTCCCCCCACATAATATCCTATACCTGCTCTAACCTTGCTCCTGTCCCAGACCCTTCCCCTCTCCCTCTCCACTGATTTCCCATGTAGACCTGTCCCTTCCTTTCCTGCTCTCATATAGCTGAGTTTATTTCCGATATTAGTCTGCTTGCACCTCTTCTCACTGTTTCTTCGCTTGCGGATTTTCTTACTTTTCCTTCTACCCTGAAGATGGAGGCGATACGATCCTCCGAAACGTCGGTTAACACCACATCTACACGGTGCCACATCCCAGAAGACTGCTTTCTTAGGTTTCCTTTTGTTTTACCTGAAGATTGAGAGACAGTGTACATGCCGAAAAAGTAACGAGTTCTAACATTCAGTTTAACATGGTTTTTAAAGTACGGCTGGTTTCAGACTAATATGACTAGCTTTTTGTCTGGTTTTAACACAGTTTCTCCATGATACTTTTTTATATTTCATCACATTATTTTTTATGGGAAATAAATGTCTAACATGATTTTTTCACCTTACACAATACCTTTCAAGATTGCACCTGTCATGTTCTTATCCAGAAAGTGGGTAAGAGTAATTTTAAATCTCCCCTACAGTGCACTTAAGCGGTTTTGAGATGCAGTGTGCAAGTAAAACACTTTTCTTTGTGAAATATCTGACGTGTTCACAGCAGTAGAGATTCACAATGTGGCATCTGGGTTGACACTGCACAGTCAGGTACATGGGTGCAAATGATTTGGAGGAACATGCAGATGGAAGCAGCAGGTCCCTCTGAAAGGCTGGTACCTATCTACCACATACAGCCTCACATCTCTGAAAGTCATATCTTAAGATTTTACTGACTTAAATATACAGATGTTCAGAACTTGTTAAATTTATTTGCTTGTGGTTTATTTGATGGCACAGTAGGTCAGACTGTATAGTGTCAAATAGTGGAATAAGTGAATGATCAAATGGAAATAATATGGAAGCAAACAGTCATGGCCTAAGTACAGGTACTATCCTGGCATTTTCCAAGAGGGACTGAAGATACCCACACAAAAAAAAATTTCAGTCAGGAAAGTTAGTTAGTTATTGGAGAGGGTGGGTTTCCCCGTGCGCTTAGACCAGTATTGGTCTGTGGGAACATCCCACATTATCACGCATTTCTGCAACGCTCGCTCTTCGCATCGCTTTTCACCATCACGCGCGCTAACCAATCAGATTGCTTCAAACGATCGCATTTATACTACGCTCGGCGCTAGCCCGCGTCTACACCATTACGCGCGCTAGCCAATCAATTCTTGCTCCTCACTTTCGAGTTTGGCTCCGCCCCACCGACCAGCGTATAAAAAGGAGCGACTCCAGAATTCAGTCAATTCAGTCTACGAGCAAGCAACTTCAACCAGCAGGCTTCGTCGCCAGCGCTCGGTCTTCGGAGACATCGGCAGGNCAGCAGCCACGGTCCTTTTCAGGGCCAACAAATTGTTCCGAAGAAGTGGGTTGTCATAGGAGTATGACAAAGACACACGTAAAGAGAACCCCACATTGGTGACCCCGACGTGATTGGAAGCGCGTGTGGTGAACATCAAGTAACGACGCCTACGTTGGATCATCACGGCCCAGCATAGACGCAGCATACTCTTCGCAAGCAGCAACATCACTTCTCGCAAGGGGGGGAGTGATGTGGGAACATCCCACATTATCACGCATTTCTGCAACGCTCGCTCTTCGCATCGCTTTTCACCATCACGCGCGCTAACCAATCAGATTGCTTCAAACGATCGCATTTATACTACGCTCGGCGCTAGCCCGCGTCTACACCATTACGCGCGCTAGCCAATCAATTCTTGCTCCTCACTTTCGAGTTTGGCTCCGCCCCACCGACCAGCGTATAAAAAGGAGCGACTCCACATTCAGTTCAATTCAGTTCATCGTCAGCCTACGAGCTAGCCGGATCAGGCAACTTCAACCAGCAGGCTTCGTCGCCAGCGCTCGGTCTTCGGATACATCGGCAGGCTGCATCGGGCACGACTGCCTCGGCCCTCCAGCGCTCTCACACCCGACTCACTGGGGCACCGCGCCTGGACTCGCCGGTGGTCGTGTTACGGTCCCACCCACTGGGCTTCTGGCATAGCCATTGCCTCATGGCTCCTACAACCGCGCTCAACGACTAGCCTTTTCACCAGCCATTCACCGTAACTAGCCTTTCTCCTTACCGGCGCGCGCCGCGCTACCTCTCCGATCAACCATCTCAGCAGCCACGGTCCTTTTCAGGGCCAACAAATTGTTCCGAAGAAGTGGGTTGTCATAGGAGTATGACAAAGACACACGTAAAGAGAACCCCACAGGTCCATTGTGCTTCCCTCTATGATATTCTACCAGTCTCTATACCCTACCGATATTGGTGTGTACCATCAGTCCCATCGAGCCAGCGAGTTCGCCCTCCACTAGCTTGGCAGTGTCTATAATGCTTCCCCCATCTATCAGAGGACTTAGAGACTACTGTTGGGCGAGAAACGTCCTTGAATTTGGCTCAGTGATCTCCTTTGGAGATATGAGGTTCTTTTACGTGCCGTAAAGCTATGACAGGGGACACATGGCTTAAAGTCCCTCCCGGAGGACTTGTTCCCTGAATTTTTCCACCCTTAAAAATTCGACCGACCTCCGCCGGGTATTTGAACCCGCGTACCACGAGTCATGAGGTGGGAACGTTACCTCTAGACTACGAAGGCCGCTTTCAGTCAGGATAGTCAGTGTCACAGCCAAGTTTTGAACTGGTCACCTCCCAAACACAAATTGGAAACCACCTTGCTTGGCAGCATTTGATAACGTCTGATACATTACTTTTATCATTATCAGTCTTCCTACAGAAATATTTTTTCTTTAGAACAAAAGTAACCTTTGTCATTGTAACTCTTAGAAACAAATTTCAACTGACCTGCCAGTCACCCAGAGGAATATAAGTCCATCATCTTGCAAAGTGGGAATTCCAAGCTGTCTCATTTCATCATCAGACATGGTTCCATAAGGCAGTTCCATGTGGATATCCCAAGGAGGGTCAGCCATAATTACAGCAAACTTTCCTGGAGAGAGCGTCAGGTGAAGTATGTTACTAACTGTTACTATGTATTGCATCGTTGCAATAGTACATACACATGTTCCACCTGGCAATTCTGCCAATACCAACACCATTACCCCAGAGTTAATATGTAACCAGCACCTTTGTAATACTGGATGACTTAAATTTCCCTGCTAATGGAAGATAAAACTGTTATCCTCAAGTTAAAAGTCTGGCTGCCACCTCAGTAGTATCAGAATATTTAAAACACAAAATGGACATAAGAAGGAATTTTTAGCTTAAAATGACATTATTTGAATATATCTCTAAGAAAGCCATCTTCATGTTCATAGAAGTCAAGAGAGAAACACTTCTGATTGGTTAATGGATTTTTATAACTTATGAAGTAAAGAGAAAGAGCCACAAAATTTTTCAAGAAATTATCCAAAAACTTACTCATGTAACAGTAAAGGTGTCCATTACAAGTAATTTGCTAAGATGTATGAAGGAGTGAAGGTATAGCTCCATAAAATTTTTAATGTTGGCATTAGATGGAGCTGAATGATCAGCTTCATGTCCCAGTTGCTTTACCCCTTGGAAACAACCCCAGTACTTACTAGAGAAGAGGACAGGGGGACCCCTGTGAAGGTATGGATATGGTGGAGAAGCAAAAAATCTTTGCCTTTCCAGGAATCAAACTCACATAGTCCAGCTTGTATCCTAATCTCTTTACTGACTGAGCTATACAACCTACTCCATTTATACCCATGAAAAATAAATCTCAGTCAGCTGAGATTCCAACAAGATGCCTTGCAAACAGAGCTAAACTGCATTAAAACTGAACTACACCTGTTCAGTCAGATGTGAACATACTGTTTCATCTGTTGCCTGGTCATAAACTGCAGTGATGCAAGTACCATTAAATGCCCATATTTGCTTTGTTAGCTAGGATAATGCAAGAATTGTTATGAAATCTGAGATGGAATAACACATCTTTACTTTTATGTCATTCCTAATGCATCACTCTGTATGTTCTTACTTTCTTCAATTGTTCTCTACTCCTGCATCCTACTATTCTCCTAATACGTATTTCTGCAATGATATCTATAAAAATCTTCTAGAACCCTGTCCCTTCACACCTCAATATGTGGTTCCAGCCTTCCCCTTTGCTACACATGGAACAAATCCCCTGCATATCATTTCTCCTAACCTCTTTCATCTCCAAACACCCATTTTCCATCATATTATTCCTCTCTTGTATGTAATTCTGTATATACCTCCCTTTCTCTGTTGCTTCCTAACTTGTCATACAAAGTGAATGAACTTCTCTCTCTTGTTGTGACTCCTGTACTATGCCTTTCTATATCATATTGTAACGTGTTTCGTTACTGAATACGCCGTAGAGATCATTAATTGGTTTACTGAACAATCTACAAATAGCGGCTACAATTAATTATAACACAGTTGCGGGTTTCCACACTTTACAAACCCTACAACCAAAATCTTCATGTACTAATAACGCAGGAGCTATACAAATCTCCCTGAATTACACACGCCAAATATAACTGTACTACAGCACTCACTAAGTCTCGAAAGCACACAATAAGTCTTCCACTCGCTGACTTCTTAGTTATCGCACACTCGCAGGCTGCTACCTTGAGAACTGTTGATAACACACTGACTCTCGCTTGCTGCTCAGCCGGCTTTTATTCCGTTCGCTGTTGCTAGGGTCGCCCGCCACGTCACTACTGTGACATGGCGTATAGCCTAGCAACGCTGTTACCCCTTGGTGACGTCACCGCTGTTGACTTGCGTTGCATAGCTACAAGGTTGCGGGGACTCGGCTAACATTGGCTCCGCTCGGCTCACTTCGGCTCCGCTCGGCACGTCACCGCTGGGAGAGTGGCGGGGTGATGACTCGCCTATTACTCGAGCACTACGTTACCGCCACGTGCCGCTGGGGAGGTAGGGGTCCTCGGTTGCGCAACATGTCACACTGCTCCCTCCTTAAGGCTGTTCGTCCCGAATAGCCTAACGGTGCTTCACCCGTTCCTTTTCTTTGGAGGCTGTTTTTGCAGCATCTTCTTTGTGTCCTTCTACTGTTTCTCTTCTCCCCATTGCTCTGCTCTCCAACCGCCACATCTTCCCCCTTTTTATGGTTGCTCGTCTCGAGCAGCTCCATGACAAGGCGCGAGCCAGTCAAGGTGTACAACCAGCATCCTCGACCTAGGGGTCTTCTGCCATGTCCTGCCATTTCGGTCGTTGGCTGTTTTGTACTTCCTGTAGAATAGGCCCTATGTCTGGGTCTTTTAGCTGTTCCTCTCTCAGGGTAACATGGTCCCAGCTGGCTGCCGGTAGGGTTTCCAATAACGCGTATTTGCTTTACCTCTGCCTGCGTCTCAACTTTGTGGCAGTGCGCACATTGCTCTTGGCAGGGTCGTCTAGAAAGGACGTCGACGTTGTTATGTTTCCGGCCCTGCCGATGCTCCGAAGTAAAGTTGTACTCCTGAAGACGCTGTATCCAGCGCGCAGTTTGCCCTTCTAAGTTCCTGAAACTCATAAGAAAGGTAAGTGCAGAGTGGTCCGTTCGCAGATGGAACTGTTGTCCGTAGAGGTATTTGTGGAAATGTTCCAGCATCCTCACTATGGCAAGTAGTTCTCGACGGGTGATGCAGTAGTTTTTCTCTGCTTTGTTTAGCGTCTTGCTGAAGTAAGCTATGACACGCTCTTGTCCGTCCTGTATTTGAGAGAGAACTCCTCCAATTCCGACATTACTTGCATCTGTGTCCACAATGAATTTCTCTCCTGGCTGTGGGTAGGCAAGAATAGGGGCAGCACATAGGGCACCCTTTAGTGTTTGAAAAGCGGCCTCCACTTC